CCCCAATTAAATGTTTTCTTTGTAAGAGTTGCCGTGGCCATGGTGTCTCTTCACAGCAATAGTAAACTCTAACTAAGATACTACCTAACACAGACAGAACAACCTGAAGACATGAGATGATATATATATATCATATATATATATATGATATATCTATGCATGCGTTATTAAGAGTAACAAAAGCTATGTAAATCTTAGGCAATACTCATCATCAGTCCCCGGTTTCCATTAACAATCAGCTAGATCTGGCTGCATCTATACCTGAAAGTCTCATCCACAAATTAAAGTTGTGCTGGCCTGTGTTACTGAACTTGCACAAATGTCTTCAAAGTTCTAGGCTGACTTTCTGCCCTGTTAGTTAGACCTGTGCACCGGGCCTGCAGTCTGCAAGCTGACATAGTCTCGAATATACCATTTCCTGTTCTGTTTGAGTAGATGAAACTCGGGCTCTTAACCAGAAGGTGACTTGAGCTTCTTTATTTACAAGGAAATTGCTGGTTAGAAAATTTCTTAGTTTTCTGGCATCTAGTGAAGCCAATTCATTAGCACGGGTTAATGTAGTTCCTCTCAAGGGCAGCTACAATCAGTGAGCCAAAGGGGATCCATAAGCTGTAGCTAGAGACACATTTAAAAAGTTTTAATCAAGCTACGGATGTAGATTAGTGATAGAATATGTGCCTAGCATGTGCCCTGGGTTTCATCCCCAGGACCATCAAATAAAAAGTCCCAACCTTCCACTTTCTTAACACCCCCCCCCCAACACACACACACACTTAGATCTAACTTGGGGGGGGCGGATAATGGAGAACATGCATGCTTCAGTTCAATCTGAATGTGGCATTTGGGGAGGAAAACCCCAGCTGAGCACACACGAGTACATTTCAGCTTCGCCAGAAGAAAAATAGTTATGCATTATACATGGACTATAAAGACATTTTTTGTAAGCCTTGCTTTCAAATGTTTGAATTCTAGAACTTAAAACGTTCCATGTGTTTTGCATTTCTTGCTCGGTTAGACTAAAAGGAAGGGGCTGAAATTCTGGTCTCAGCACTCGTGCGGTATATCCCAGGAATGTTTAATATAATATTATTCTGTAGTTATAGCGTTCGTCAACAAGACGTTTAGACTCACTGCCGATTGTTGTTAAGGGCTTTTTATTCAACAGGTATTACTGATCGCCTCCTATATGCCAGGCCCTGTTTTAGGTATGGAAACTACAAAGTACTTTACAGTTCGTACATTACAGAAAACAGGCCATAACCAAGACTGTAAATACAGATGATGTCATGTCAGGTCATGAAGAAACTATTCTTCCTGCTTTATTCAGGGAAAGGGAATTTGGGTGGGGCTGCTATTTTAGGGGAGGGAGAGCCTCACCCTTGAAGTCTTATTTGAAAAAAAAAAAAGATCTTCATGAACAGAGAAAGGAGGCTTTGAAAGCTTTGGGGGAAGAAGAAGCGTCGTGGACAGAGAGAGGGCAGGACTCAGCTGGCGTAAACTGCAGGGCAGCTTGGAGTCTGGTGCAGTCAGAGCTGGGTGAAAAGCAAGCAAGTGGCAGAAAAATGAAGCCTGACACGAAAGCCCATGTGACAGGGCTCCTGTGCATGCCGCCCCACCCCCACCCCAAGCCAGTGGAGCTAATGCTAGTCTTGTCTGGCTGGCTTCACTTGGGGGCAGTTAAAGAGATGATAAGGAATTGAAAAGAAAAACTGCTATGAGCCAGGCAAGGCGGTGCGTGCCTGACGTTCCGGCACTCTGGAGGCTGAGGCAGGAGGAAGAGTTCAAAGTCATTCTCGGCTACGTAGGATATTGGTGGCCAGGCTAGGCTACATAGGATGCTGTCTCAGAAAACAAAGGGATGATGGATGTAGTGACACACATCTTTTTTTTTTTTTTTTTTTTTTTTTTTGGTTTTTCGAGACAAGGTTTCTCTGTGTAGCTTTGCGCCTTTCCTGGAACTCACTTGGTAGTCCAGGCTGGCCTCGAACTCACAGAGATCCGCCTGGCTCTGCCTCCCGAGTGCTGGGATTAAAGGCGTGCGCCACCACCGCCCGGCGTGACACACATCTTTAATCCTAGCGCTCAGGGTGGGCAGAGGCAGGCAGATCTCTATAGTTCTAGGCTAGCCTGGCCTACATATTCAGTTCCAGGTCAGCCAAGGCTACATAGAACCACACTCTGTTGTGAGCAGGTATGGACAGGTCCTGCCTGTATACTCTGGCATGCTGTCCTCTGTATCTTGTGTAGATTGTGTGTGGGGCACCTCCAATACTCAGCTGTTGTCTAGAGTCAGAACTAATAGAAAAAGACTCATCTGTTGGTCCTGTGTGCTATAGATATTAGTCACAGGCTCCCAAGTTCCCATTGATTTTTCAAGTCTTCACCCGTTCCTAAAATCAGAGTAGAGTGCCAGACTCTCCAGTCTTCCCGAAGCAAAGTTCTCCATCCTTTTCTTTAGCAGGAAAACCTCCCAACAGTAACGTCTAAACCCACGAAACCTAAAGGCTGCCATAACTAAGTCAGGAAATGAACTCATTTGGAAAGAAAATTCACCACGCGAGGTGTTCAGCAAATAACACAGGGCCTCAGAGAAGCCAGGATAAATTAGACCAGCACCACCAGACCCTTGAAGAGGTAGGCTGTGCACGCACTGTTTAGGGCTCAGAGGTAAAGACCCATTCAAAAAGATTAGAGGACAGAGACAGCACACGAGAGTGAAAATGGGGTTTGGGAATACAAGTCCTAACCTCCAAGCCACCTGCCACCCCATGTTTGCCCAAACTGTAAAAGAAATTATTTACTTAGACATGTGGAAACGGACTGCTTTGAACAGCAGCTAACAATAGAAAAAAATGAAAGAAAAAAAAACAGAAATCACACACAAGACATATGTGTAAGGAATGTCTTTATGTGTGCAAAAGGAATTTTTCATGTGGTATTTCATAAATGTATATCCATGCATATTTTTACTTTTAAAAATACCATATGTAATGAAAGCTGTGCATAAATATTTATAAAAATACCTTTATCGAACTAAGGCCAGTAACATTTAATATTTCTCAATAAATTCATATATAAAATATATACATTAGTGCCAAATGGAACATATATTTTGAAATATGAACCCCAAGTAAAACTCTGAGGAATCTGGAGTGGAACCCAGGTATCTGCCAAAGGAAACTTCAGAGCCGTCGTGGGTTGAAGAAAGGCAACAAGGCCGGGTCCCTTATCTTCACGGACTGTTTTGCTTGTCAGAATTCTGGTATCCCTTCTGCAGCTTTTATATTTGACTTCCGACCTCACGGCCATTTAACCTGCCAACTTGAGGCTTTTAACACTCCACCCAAGTATTTTTGCTTTCCCGAACAGTTGCGTCCGCTTCCTTTTCAACTTCACCTTAACATCGACCGTGGTTTACAACCTGGGCTTAACGTGCACCCCAGTCTAAGGTTTCAGAGAGATGGGGGGCGGAGGGGGAGGCATCCCTGTGATGACCTGAAGCCCATACTGCCTTGGGAAGCCAAAGTCTCCAGGAGGGGCTCCGCTTTGTGCCAGGATTTCCAGGCAACCTGAGAGTCCCCGGGTTGGAGCCAGGCCCGGAGCGCGCGCGACTCCTCCGGGTTCCAGCTCCTTTTCCAGGTCATCCAAGCCGGCGGGGACCTCACCGCCGGAAAAACGCCACCTTTTCCTGTCTCCTACCAGGCGGACGAAGGGAGAAGGAAGAGACGGCGGCCGATTAAGACAATTAACACTCATTCACTGGGTTCCTACTGAGGTTCAGGGACAGAGGGGCGGGACGTCCTGAGGCCCTGGCCGGGTGACCGACAGGCGCAGGTGTCGCCACGGGCGGAATTTTACGGTCCGGAGCAGCAGCAGCTGCGCCACTTGCGCCGCCTGGCCGAGCGTCCGGGAGAGCCACCACCCGCTTCCGCAGCTTTAGGTCAATCTCTCAAAGACCTGGGGTGGGGGTGGGGGTGGGGGTGGGGGGGAGGAGGAGTCGCCTCCCTCCGGACAGGAAAAACCTGCTGCGTCTGCCTTTCTCCTTGTCCCGCGGGGTCCCAGCCTCCAGCCCCGCGTCTCTCCCGCGCGCCCGATGATCCGCGCTCCGGGTTTTGACGACAGCTTGCGAGGGGGGGGAGCGAGCCGCACGTTGACAGCACGCGACCCTCCCCTTCCCTTCCCTCCCGGGAGCTACAGCAGCTTAGGGGGGGGGGGGGTCCCCCGGGGAGCTGTGGCCGAGCTGCGGCGGCGACGCGGTCAGGTGGCCCTTCTTCATCGCAGGTCCCCTCCCTCTGCGGCGAACCCCGGCACTGCTAGATGGGCTAGGTAGGACAGGGAGAGGCGGGGACACGAGGGTGAGCACGAGGGGTCCCGGGTGCGGGCGGAGTCCTATTGTCCTCCCGCACCGTGCAGGCAGCCACGCTCCGGGGGGGGGTCCCCCTCTTTGAAGAGAGCACCCCAGCCACTTTTCTTTGTGCCCAAGAGACCCCCCCCAACCCCGCCCCACGGGAGGCTTTGACTCTGAGAGAAGCCACATCGCGGGGCAAGTGGGGACTGGGAAGGTGACAGTGGGCACCCATTGTCCTCCAAGAGCCCGGGGCCGCGCTGCCGCCTGTCTGGCGGGGCTGGGGACAGGTACGGCGGAGGGAGGGTCCCCGGGCGGGCGGGCCGGCGGCCGAGCACCCCTTCTCCCCGCCCTTGCCCTGGCCTCACCAGCCCCGCCCCGCCCCGCTCCCGGGCCCCGCCCCGCCCCGCTCCCGGGCCCCGCCCCGCCCCGCCCCGCTCCCGGGCCCCGCCCTCGGCAGGTTGAGGCCGCGCGTCGAGCCGCCGCGCGCTCAGTGTTGCGGACCCTTGCAACGGCCGCTGGCTGGCAGCGCAGCAGCAGCGGGGACGCACACCGAGCCACCCACCGGGTTCCGCGGCCGCTGCCCTCCCGGGGAGGAGACTCCGCGCACAGTCCCCGGAGCAGAGTACGCGGTGAACCGTCGCCGCCCCTCCGCCTCTGCGCGCCCCGGCGGCGGCGGCTGCGAGGATTGCCTGCGCCCTCCGGGAGGCGACCCGGGCCGACGCCCGGCCCCCGGGCAGAAGCGACGAGCCTCAGCGGCTGCTTGCTGGTGAGTGTGTAAGAGCCCAGGCTGCTTCTCCACCTGTGAGTCTGTCCCACCACGGTCAACCTTAGTCCCTTCCAGCTCGTGCTGGTGTGTTGGGCTTGGAAGACTTTATCAAGGGTGAGGGGATAACCCAGGGCACCGCCTTCTTGAGCTGATGTCCGGAGGACCAAAAGGGACATGGAGCCGTCCCAGAGGGGATCAGGACACAGAGCTCTGCCGTCCGCGCCTACTTCTTTTGGGTGGGGCCCCCTCCGAGTTATTGACAGCCATTCTGGGCGCGTGTTACGTTTTTCCATCAGAACAAACCGCACTTGGCTATCGCGCCCCTCTGGTTGTGTTTGCACCCGGGCGGGCGGCACATGTAGGTGCACCGCTCAGCTCTGCTGTTTCCTTGCTGACAGAGGCAGCGGAGGCTCCAACCTGCAGATCTGGCAGTTGAAATTTTTTTTTTCTTTTTTTCACTGTGGTTTCTGAACAACTGAAGCATTTACAAGATCTTTGCTCCTCCTCTGCCGCCTCCTCCTCCTCTTCTTTTTCTCTTCCTCGTCTTCCTCACTAAGTGTCTTGACACAGGCATGTGAGGACGAATGGATCTGGCCAGTCATTTTTTTTTTCTTTATGAATTATTATACTCCCCCACCCCCCCTCTCTCGCCTTTGGGAGGGAAGGCATGTGTTTCATCTTATAAATAGAAAGTAGCATATTTTTTTGGCAGGACCTGCTTTATACTGCACCGTCTAGGAGAGGTCAGTTTAAAAATAAATATGCACTTGAATGTTACATTACCGAGCCGGCTGTGGCACAGACGAGCTGCGCGGACCACAGCATCAAAGCTCGGAGTACATCTGTGTAAAAGCCCCAGAGTGCAGCCCAGGCTGACAGTCAAGTAATTTCATTGTGTTTAAAAAAAAAAAAAAGTGAGTGAATTAAAACGAGGGTGGGACGAGGAATGTCAGGCAGGGACTGGAACATGCATCCGTGCAGCTTTGGTGTATTTGGGGGAGTGGGCTGCTGAGGTGTGCAGTGTGTAGGGGGCTCTAGGGAGGGAACTGATGGATACGTTAGGGAGACAAGATTTCTTCTGTCTTTTCCCACCCTGGCAGCTTGTAGCCCTTGGAAAAAAAAATCCTTGAGTTCTGGAAGGGGGGTGGAGGAGGGGTACTGGCCTTGAAAATATTAGGAGGGTAGCAGATGTCCCTGCTTTAATAGCCGATCCAGACTTAGGACTTCCCCCTTAACATCACAGGGAGAAATAAGCCTCACCAGGAGGCAGTCGGTATGCCCCAGGGGCATCCCCAAGTCCATTAAAAGACTCCTGCGATGTTTCAACTTATAAAAAAAAAGATCTTTCATCTAAGGACTCCACTAGGTAGCACAACTTCTGGACCGTTCTAGACGTCTCCACCATTGTGGCTTGATGGACAGTTCAGATATCAGTATACACAAACACCTTTTTCTGAACGAGGGACTCAGACATGAGGCAGTTGTGAAATGTCTGCAATTGTCAGGTGTGAACTACGCGATGAGAGCTATTTTCAAGGAATGGTTGACAGTCCATCTGGAAGTGTCTAGGTTTCCCCATAGGCCCCACCCATGGCATGAGACAGGACTACCGGCCCCTGGGCTCACAGATGGGATGTTTAGAGAACTTTGGAAGCCTTCTGGGTCCATGGCAGTTTCTGCTTCCCAGCCATCTCATCTGCTAGAGATTTGCATTCTGAATTCCATGATTGGAACATGGTGCTGAGGCTGGGGCAGCCCCTGAAGACATGAAGTAAGATGAGCTCCCTCCCACCCCGCTAATCTGAGCCCTGAAATTCTGCCTTGCATTTTAACAGCACCTAGAAAAGCCGCTAAAGTACTGCACATTTTCTTTTTTGCTTTTTATGGTGAACTTAAATGTGATCCAGGATGCAGAGAAAGCTGTAACAGCTCCCCGAGCCGGTTGGCCCCTGTCTGCTCTCCAGCTTCCCCGTTAACGTGGTGTTTTGTTTTATGTCTGACATGTTCACAAAAGCTGCCCTTTTTCCACTTGTAAAATTCCTGCTATTCAACAGCATCGGGGATAAAATCGCTTTAGCCTACATCACCCTAAGGTTTTTAACCAAGCCATAAAGTTTTCACAAGCTCTTTGCCCATTAGGCATAGCATTTATCCAGTGGGTCGAATACAATTCCTGACCTAAAAAGCCCCCAGGAATACTGTGCTGATTTTTTATTGTTATTGTTATTATTATTATTAATAATTATGGCTCTTGCTTCAGTCTGATTTTATGTAGGCTCAGCCTAGTTTCTTTCTAACTAGAATCGCACGGACATGTTTTTCTTATAATTGAATAAGAACATAAATTGTATAGAGCATGTTGTTGGGACATCAAAAGTAATTCCAGCATAAAGCCTGTCCTAAGTGCTAAGCTAAGTACTCTTCCCATTGCCTACATTAACTCCTTTACTTCTAAATAATCATTCCATGAAAGAAGGTGGGTAGGATCTGCGTTTTACAGGTGTAGTGACTGAAGACAGGCCAGTTATATAGTTTGCCCCAAATTAGACAGTAGAGAACATACCTAAATGGGTTTGTCTGAGTGCCCTTTTGAGTTCAGGGACTGGAGAAGCCTGAAGTTATTAACTGGGCATCAGACTGCCGGGGCACGTTGCCTGGATCTTGCATATAGTGCTTGTGTGGTGCTGGACAAGTGACTTAGCTTACGTGATTGTCTCATATAACAACTCCGTAGCTAGTCTTTTAGATGTGTGGTATGGTACTTCCTTTCCAGATGAGAGCTGAGGCTCTGAAGAGTTTTGTCATTTGGTCAAGGTTACACGGCTAAGTATGGTTTGAACTCAGATATCTTTGACCTCGTACTGAATAGCACACCTCCATTGTCTGGGAGGAAGGGTAGGGGAGCTATTACATATGATGACTGTTACGGCTTTTGGCCTCTGGAGAGGAACTCATTTTATATTATTCTATCTCATCATATCACCACCCAAAGGGAGTAATTGCCAGCCCTAGGGAATACAACTTGAATTACTTAATTATTAAGGGTGGCTCAGTCTTGTATGTGGTGACCTTGTTCTTCTACAGCAGAGCTAATGTGAAACTGCTAGAGTTGGTCTAAGCAGTTTACACCATAAACAAAGGAACTCATTAGGTGAAAAATGTGGGACCCTGACACCAGAAAGCCATGCCCCAGCTGGCAACAAGGCATTCCAGTATCCAGGAATGAATACAGCCCCCATGTAGGCCATGTCCTTGGATCCACCAGAGGTAGTAGGGCTAAGGAACAATGCCTGGTAAGACATTATATCCAGGAAGCCTGGCTTGCAGCCCCTGGCACTCAGAGGATACTCAGTGCCTGTTGGGTAGTGATATACTGCCCTGAGAGTTCCAGGGTGATCAGGAACCACAGAAGGTTGGGCAGGAAGGCCCTGACCTCTGTCCTTGCAGATGGGGGGCCTGTGACAGTGGTGCACATGCCCTGGATGCAGCTAGATAAATGTCTGCCGTGAAAGATAGAGCCAAGAGGCCTTAGAAGCTAAGCATGCTTGCCCAGGACAATCCCGGTCCCTGCTTCTCATCAGTTGTGAAGTCTGCTGCTCCGTCCCCAGGACAAGGTCTGGAAATTGCCCCGGAGTTGGGGCTGTCCATCCTGATCTGGAATTTTCTCCCTTCCTGCTCCCTTCCTTTAGAGATGACAAAACAAAACAACATCCTACAAACTCTGACAAGTAACTAGTCAAATCTACAGCAATTAGCAATTAATCAGGGGAGGTTTTTTGTTGTTATTGTTTTGTTGGTTTTCTTTTTTTCTTTAAAAAAAAAAAAGTGTTTCCTTTGGCTTTGATGCACTTCAATGGCAACTTTTATCAGAGTGGAGTGATAACAGACAGTGTGCCAGGGCCTCTGGTGGAAAAGTAGCCTTTAAATCTAACTGTATGGCTTTATAGTAGGAAACACAGGCATTAAAACAATAGCTATTTCGCTGTGGTTTTGTTTTTGTTTCTTGTCTTGATTTTTGAGACAGGGCTTCTACGACCCAGGTTGACCTTGAATGCTTGATCCTTCTGTCTCAGCCTCCTGAATTCTGGAATTACATGCAGGTACCACAGTACCCAGCACCCCTTATCCCCAGTCCCCCTCCCCAAAGACTACTTCTAAGGAGCCAAATTGTGTATGGAAGCTGATGAGCCGCACTGTAAGATTGTGTGGTCATTACTGCTTGCCTAAATGATTAGCTCACAATAGAACTCTTTAGTAGGAAGTTTGAAAAACAAAAGATATTTTGTGATTCGGAAGCTGTTTGCACATTTCAGAAAGTTAGGATTGGGCTTCTAGCCTTTGGCTCTTTATGAAACAGTGTTGCAGTTGTCACATTCCTGCAGTGCCCCAACAGGCTGGCACCTAAAGCATCCCTTAAGACTCAGGAAGATCTGGAAAGGGTCCTGTGGAAAGCCAGTTTGATGACGTCCCCTTCCTGACGGATGTCGCAGAGTCCCTGCCACACCAGTGTGCAGTGACTCTCCCTGTGGAGAGAGCTTCTACTGTGTCCCACAGTGTTTCGCCCTCACAGCGACTGCTCTGGTAGAAAACTCTCTCTGGGGAGCACCAAGTCACAGCTGCACAGACTTGCAGCCTGTCCCTGCTGAGCTGCAGGCAGGAGAGGAATAGGGCTGGAAGAGCATGCCAGCAAGATGCTGGCAAATCCGTGGTGGCTCTGTTTGGTAAAACTAACCCGGAATTACCCGGGGACGATCAAAATGTAGCAAGGACTAGATCTGAAAACATAGGAGGACGTCTTGATGTGGATCTGAATGGTGTGATTCTGGCCTCTCTCAGAGTCTGTTTCTCATCTCTAACAGGATTTGGGGTTAGATGAGCTCAGATCATCCCTAACTCTAGATTTCAATAAGCCAGTATCCACGTGACCTATTAGCATAGCCTGTCGTGCTAATAATAAAGAGCGGCCTTGGAAGAGCAGGCTGGAAGGCGAGGACTTCAAA